GTGATAAGCATGAGAGGAAGGTTTAGTGAAGTCAAACCCCAACAATTTATTAATATTGCATTAGAATCAAGTTTTGCACTCTAAGTGTTTACCAAAATACCAAAAAGAATTGTTATTGCTTGTTTACATTATTTACTGCAGCAAATCAAACTCTTATTGCTTTTTGGTAGCTTAGTTAGTATAACAAGTGAAATTGCAAAGTGTTGCGCAAGTCCCTTGGGAGACGATACTCATACTTTCATTGAACTAGTTATACGATTTGGTGCACTTGCCAAACGACATAACAAGTGTTGTGTTGTGTTGTGGATTCATGAGGCATGTTATTGAACTATGTTGTGAACTTAGGACTAAAGGAGAGATGTTGTTTTAAAAGTTGAAATATCTTATTGTGTGAATATGTTTTGTGGTGATTTGAGAACCCAATTGTTGAAAAACCCTTCTTGAATTTTGTTGTCTCTTGAAGTAAAGTGTTGAGTCTCCTCTAAATCATTAATTGATATTGTATGGGGGTTAGGCCGAGATATACTGGTTTAGAAGTGACCAATTTGAATAAGATATGAAGTCAAAAGGTAAAATCTTTAATGGATTACTAGAAAGGTGCGCAATATCTGGAGGGTAGTCGATAAGTTAATTCCATATAGACTTAGTTGATGCATACTAATGTCGTGGTAGACTCCCGCCCAAACCATTTTATCCTTGATAGAGGTACCCGACTTTTATAATTTAAGTGACAAAATTTGAAAAATCATGTTGTGTTATGTATTGATATCCAACTTTACTATTGATCTAGCAAGTCAAAAAAATGTATTGTTAAGTTGGTTTAGTAGGATCAAGTCATTTAGACTGATCACCTTTGTTGTAAGAGATTTCTTAATTGAAATATGTGATGATGAATCATGTTGTTGTGTTGCTAAGTTGTTGCGTTGTTAATATGTTGTGTTGTTCATATGCTAAGTTGATATGATGACAAATTGTATAATTATGTTGTAAGTTGAAAAGTTGTTAAGTTGTAGAGCTATGTTCATATAAATCATCCTATATCAATGTATAAGAAACTATAGTCATATAACAACATAATTTATATGAGTAATCCAACTTATTACACACATGTTCAACACTTAGTCAATTAAAAGACATCTTTTCATTTGGCAACTCATGCCCGACACCATTCTCCTGATGCCCAACGTGATTGAGATATAGAGTCTCTAATTCACCCACACTTGATGCCAATCCACTTGTGCTTGACATGAATGAGACAAAGGGCCCCTATGTCAATCATGCATGGCATGGCTAAACCCACACTCGACCTTATTTAGGTAGAGAATCTTTGTCTGACTCATATTCGATGTAACAAAACTTGCGTATGACGTCATCTAGGTAAAAAGTTACTGCCTTGATCACACCTAACATTACTAAACTAGGGTCCGGTGTCACCAAGTCAAAAGTCATTGTGACAACCATACTTGATGATGCTCAACCTACATCTGATGTGACCAAGTTAGAGAACTCCCTTCTAACTTACACTTGATGTTACCAATACTATGTCCAACGTCAGTTAGGTAGAGAGTCTCCGACCTACATCATGTTCGACGCCATGGAGTTACGTCTAATGCAGTAGTGAATTCTACATTTGACAAGTTTACGTTTTGGCTTAATCCACTTAAAACTTAGCAATTTCCAATATGCAAGACATGATAACACAATTATACACCTCAAACAACTCAAATTGAACATCAAGATCAACATGCATCCACCCAAGACAAGATTCACCAAATTCTCCTCAACATCCTCAAGAACAACTAAAAATCCAACATAAGATTTTCACCTCACAATCATCAACACATGCAACAAGAATCAAACATCCAACCTTTCCTTATCTTTGAATCACCTATAATTAGGGGAAGAAGAAAAAAATGGATTCTTTCATACTAGCTATGCACGACCACTAGCTCTAAAGCTTCAAATCACCAACCATAAACCAAATTTACGCTCAAGGGAATGAAGGAAGAAATCCATGAAGCTGAAAGAGAAAATGATTCTTCTCTAACTCTATAGTTTCTCTCTCTAACTTATCTAGATTTTCTTGAGAAATGAACTTATGAAATTCAAATCTAAAGAAAAATTTTATATACTATTTCTTAACAAATTAACTTTGATTTCGACTCAAAACGACTCCTAAACAACAAAAATTTATTAGAATTTCTACATCTTTAGAATTTCAAAACAATTTGTTTAATCACAACATCAATTTTAATTAATAAAAAAATAACATACATAAACAAATTTTTACGGTGTTAAGAAACTCTAAATTTTATAAATAAAATATAATATAATTAAAGTTCATAATATTAGTGTTTATTTATTAATAAAATAAAATTTAAAGATGAATTAAAATAAAATTAAAGTTTATTAAGTGTATTTATAAAAGAGATAAAGAGTATGATGGTTAAATATTTTTCTTTACGCAGAAAACCCATTATTATATCATATATAGAGTTGACGATCTTATCCAGAAAAGCTTTATGAAGTTTCGTGAAATAATAATGTTTAAAAAAATGTGAATATATCATGTGAGTCCCACTTTGGTTAGTTAAAAAAAAAAAAAAAAAAGTAGAAGCCGAAGCCGATGGTTGTCGGGGGTCAGAGCTGACCCGTGAGAGCGGTATTTCCAAGGCTAACTGATCATTATGTCCAACACTTTGCTTTATGTTTTCTTTTTTATTTCATCAAAATAAATGAAAAGAGCAAAACCTAGCTTTTCCACTTTTTAAATTAAAATATACCCACATTTTCATGCATATATTGAACAACAGTTTCAAACATCAGCAATACCAATCAACTTCTAAGAGTGTAGTTAAAAATATTTATAATATAAAAATATTAAATAGAATATACAGTAAGTAATAGTGTAAAAAAAATTTATATTATCATTTAATAACAATTTGTCACGTAGAATTTAATATTTGTAAGAGTCATGTTATTGTAATATTCAAGTTTCAATAGCATTTATATTTTTATTATGGGGGACCGTAACGTAAGGTCAACTGAATTTGAACGTCTGTAAAACAAAAGAGTTATGGTGTGTTTGGATGATGAATTTTACAAATTCAAGGAATTTTAAATTCTTGATATTTGAATTACTTTGATTTCAATTTCTATCATTCTTAAAATATTTTGTTTGGATAAGTCAATTCAAATTTATCAAATTTTAAATTGTTAGGTTGGATATGATAATTTGATTCTACCATGATAAAATTGATTTTAAAAATATATTTATATGTTGAGATTTTTAAATTAAATTTTATAAAAATAAATATTAGCTAATTTTTAAATATTTAATAATTTTAAAAATTAATATTAGATAATATTTAATAATTTTAAAAATATTTTTAAATATTCAATAATTAAAAACATGAAGAGATAAGAGATAAGATAAAACATATAAATGAAATAAAAAGAAAAAAATATGAGAAATTTCAAATTCTTACTCTTTTGGGAGAATTTGAAATTCTACTATTTCAAGGAATTTCACAAATGCTTGAATTTCAAATTTCTTATAAATTCCTAATCCAAACAAGGTATTTCACCTCAAAGAATTTGAAATTCTTCTAATAAATAAATTACTCCATTTAAATTCCCCATCCAAACACACTATTAAGCTCCACGTGTCCAAAGATTGATTGAGGATTAAGAATTGTGTATTGGCGTCACAAAGATATCAAACTTTGTCATTAATCATATTCATCAGTTTAAAAATGTTTATTTTTATATAATTAAATATCATAATAAATACTCATTATTAAATAGATAAATTTTTATAATAAATGAATATTTTGAAAATATAAATTATATTCAATAATTACTTATAAAAATATTAAAATTAATTTAAAAAAAAATAAAAGAGACAAAAAGGAAAAATAAAATAAAAAATATGAAAATAATAACAATTTCTAAAAAATCCTTTCGTTTAATTTTTTTTCTTGTAAAAGTATTATGGTTGAGAAAAAAAATTCATAAAAACACTTACAACTAATCATTTAACTTATATATATAGATGGTAGATGAATAATAATTTCAATTGAACTATTGTAGAATAAATTTATTTCAATCGGTGGATATGTATTTTGTTTAAAAATAATATAATATAAAATAAAAATAAAATAATAAATATTATAAAATGTAAATTAAGTGAGATAATATATAATTTTAAAAATAAAATAATTTTAAATAAAATTAAAAATCAAAGATGATTAAAAATAAGAGGATAGTTATTATTAACTGAGTGAATAATTATTCTTTTTATATATATTTTTCTTCTATTTTATCTTTAAGATATGACAATGGAAATAATATATAATAAAAAAAATATAAATGTTTAAAAAAAATGGAAATCAAAGGAATATATCTTTTTTATATATAATTATTTTTAAAAAAATTAAAGATAAAATAAAAAGATAATAAAATAGATGGTTGCAAAATTTTTTTTCTCTTCACATTTGAGAGGTATATTCATCTACTAAAAAGTGAAGATAAAAAATAGTTACACATTTTGGTATAGATATACAATAGGTAATAAATTAAATTTATTAAAATTTTAAAATTACACATTTATTTAAAAAATATCAGTTTTAAAAAAATCTTTAACTTTACACTATTTTTTTTTGAAAAAATATATACTTTTCATTTTTTTTTAGGGGAATAAGATTATGTCATTTCATTCAAAATAATTGGAACAATACATGAGGGAATAAATTCAAAAGTGTGAGAGCTAGCATAACGTCGTGACGCCCTAACTAAATAGTGAGCGACCCGACTGGCTTGCCTCGAGATGAACTTTAGTGATAAGTTCGGATGATTGTGTAGCAATCTTCTACACTTATTAAGAAGAAACCCATATTCTGAGTGGTGTGATTGAGTCCTAGATAGAGCGTCAAGGACAGATTTACAATCCGACTCAAGGGTTACGTGGGTGAGGCTCAAAGTTACTATCCATTGGATGGCTATAAGTAGAGCTGTAGCTTCAGTCTCATGAACAGGTGGAAGGCCATGAGCCCAACCAGTTTTGACTGTGAGAAAATGTCCATGATCATTTCAAATGCACATGCTATACCCAAAGCAGGATGAGTCCTGGAAGAGAGCAACATCAATATTGCACGTAAACATCCCTACATGGGGCTTTTTCCATTGTAAATCGTGTACAGGAGGGATCCTTTGTGTTGACGATCTTGCTTGTGCCACTTGCCAATCCCGAAAGTGTTGCTTTGCTTGTGAGATGGCTACACCTGAAGGTGGGTCGTCCTGATCCCAAACCTTAGCATTTCGACGCCTCCAGACACAACCAAGCGTGACCACGACTTCAACAATATGGCTTTGAGATATGCTGCCAAGTAAGGAAAAGATGACCTCTACAATTCCTTCACCTACATCTACTAAGGGTTTAATATGTTGCCATATGCCATTTGCTTGCCATACGGTCTGTGCTTCTTGACAACCAAAGAAAATGTGCCAATTGTTTTCTTGTGCAGCTTCATAGTGGGGACAAAGGGAGGTACAAGGGACTCCTTTTTGCTAAAGGTGTTGGCGTGAAGGAAGACAGTCTCTAAGAAGTCTCCAAAGAAGGATTTTCATATTATGTGAAATAGGTAGAGCCCATAACTTTTTCCAATCACCAGGGACCCTTGAGATAAAGTTGCATAACAGGGACTCCATAATAAGATAATAAGCAGACTTAACAGAGTACGAGCCTTTCCTGTTGAGATTCCACATGAATGTATCTGCTTCGTCAAGCTGGAGAAGTGGGATATCTTTTATTGCATCAATGTCATGTTGGTTGAAAATCCTGTTGATAAGATCAAACTTCCAAGTGTCATTCTCAAAGTCAATTAGGTCAGCTATCCTGATCTCCTCATATACCCTGCTGGAGGCAAAGATGTCACATAGGGCTTACCTTGTTGACGTAGCAAGGGATCAACCCATGGCTTGATGCAAAGACCATTACCAATACACCACCGCATGCCCCCCCTTACCACTACCTGTGAAGCGTGGATGCTACGCCATGTGAAACTCGGGTTGTGGCCAAGATTGGCCCCCAGAAAGTCCCCTCGCGGGAAGTATTTAGCTTTAAATACACAAGTAACTATAGCATCTTGGTTGGTTAAGAATTTCCAACCATGCTTCCCTAGCATGGCTAAGTTGAAGCCATAGAGGTTGCGAAAGCCCATTCCTCCATGTTCTTTACTCATGGATAATTTTTCCCAGCTAAGCCAATGAATGCCTTTCCCAGAGTGTCTGTTTGAGCCCCACCAAAAAGAATTTAACATGCATTGAATCTCATCGCCAAGTGATGAAGGAATGAGGAAGACACTTTCATTTTCAAAAAATACATTTATACACAATATATATATATATATATATATATATATGTATATACACATATATATTTCGATGAAGAGCAAAGTTTAAAGATGTTGCATAGCTTTATAGCCCAATTTGAGGCGGTTCTTAGACAAAATCTGTCCGTTAATTGATGATAAGATTTATGTAATGGCTTGGACTCATGAATATATGTATATTTTTTTCATAGACATATTCCTTTTAAGAATTTGGTTATATATGGGTACAGCCTCATAAATGGACCAGCCACGTTGACAAGGAATGGGACAGTGATGTTTGTCTTCATACAACATACTGATCTTGCAGGTGAGGGAGTATTGCAGGTAAGGTATCCTCAACATGCATTTGTATTAACGTTCAAATGAGAATGACGTGGTAAGTTGTCGTATTAAGGTTATGACCGTCACTGATTTGTTCATTATTCTATTAATGTATGCTCCTCTGTATTTTTGTCCTCTTCTTTCTCACATACCCTTTGCATGTTCTGCACATAAGAAATAAGCCATGCTACTCCATCATTTTATTCTTTGACATTCTTATTCATTTCAGTGGACCATTCAAGTTCTTTTTTTCTTTAACAAACTTATTTTAGGGTTTGAAGTATACTGTCAATTTGTCATGCACCAAAATAAGATATTCTAGGATCTTACATGGATACTATCCGTCAATTATTGGATTTGGTTTTTTGGTTAATCTTTCTTTAAGAGATATCCTCACAAAGGGTGAGAAATCCTCTTTTTGGAAATAGAAAAAGGTTTCTATCCCTTTTTTTTTTTTAACTAAATTGTTAGAATTAACAAATGAAATATTACTCGTTTTGACATTGTTATTAGTATTTACTTTTAAAAAAGTGTATCGGTAAATTAAGGAGGGAGAGTATTTATAAACCATCATTTATCTCAATTTCTAAGTAATGTGAGATTTTTAGACATATCAGAACAAACCTCTTAGTTAAGGTTAAAAAATAAGACTGACTAGATCTTTTTTATAATATTAATGTTTCAATCATAAGTTTATTGACATTATTATGATTATCATATCCAAGGTATTATCCGTTTTTATACTTGTTGGACTATTATAATTTTATACTTGAAAAAGTATCTTGATGAATTAAGAAAATAGAATGTTTATAAACTATCATTTGTCTCAACTCTTAAATGATATGAAACTTTTAGATATACTAAAACACATAGATATACTAACCATTAACTATTAATTAATAATTCATAATAATTTTTTTCAAATTATTTTTAAAAGAATCACTAATAGTTGCAATTTGTTGGAAACCACATATATCATTGCCACAAACAAACCTATAAAACGAACAAAATACTAAAAATAGATTATTAATCTCCAACACAATCTTGAGAATAAGTTCGTAGGCGGTAGGTCTAGATATATATAAGTGACCCAATAACAATGTAATAATGAATGGTTCAATAAATCTAAAAATATTCTTTATAATAATAATATTTCAATGTAGATTTTAAGTTTAATTTAATTATACAAAGCTTACTTATAAGATAAAAGTTACCCCTTACTTATATATACTACTTGTTTACGTAAGATTTCCAATAAATAAAAATAGGCTTAACAAAAAAGTTAATTTTTCACAACCTGACAACTAATACTTAAATATTTATTAGGAAAAGTATTTATATCAAGTGTTTAACAATGAATGGAACAAAACTACTTCCAAAGAAAACATTGTAAGAAAAAAAAATTAGCTTCATGAATTCACTTCCTTTGTGTCTCTTTAGTAATCTTGTTGCATTTCTATTTCCTTCTTTAGGTAATTAAGGGCTAATTTGATATTTTAACAGTTTTTTATTATTATTATTTTTTTTTCAAAAAATTTAGGTGAGTTAAGTTTTTGAAACTTATTGATATTGTTTTCCTTTAATGCTTTAAAATGAAAATATCTTTCATTTCATACCAATGCCAAAATTCAAAGATACAATAAATCTCCAAGAGAAGGTACAGTGATGCTTAATTTTTGAATTTAAAGCGCCATGGGAGGATGTGACATGCCATCTGACTCGTATCTGAGAGGAAGAAGCAAAGGAATTAACAATGGTGTTTGTATGGTATGGGTGGTAACAGGTATCTTGGCTTGAACTCTTTACCTATGACTGGTGGCAGAAAATAGTGGACAAAACTCAGCATATACGATATTATGATCTCGTGAAGGACACATACTTCAATTCCTGCTTAATAATTCTCTGAGATAAGGTCCCATTTCTGACTTCTTGTGACTACTTTTTTGACTTCTTTATCTGTACGGTCTAATTTCATTTTGAAATCACTATGTTAGTATAGTTTTTGACAAATTTATCATTTTATAGTAACTAGTATTTTATGAATAAAAAAAACTACAATCATGATAATAATGTAAATAATTCTCGTGATATTTTCTGATGAATCTGATCGACTTCCTTTTCGAAGTGCTAGCATGTACATTCATAACTAAAACATTTATGCAGTATAGTTTGATCATTTTAGTACGACTTATAATAATTTGATCATAATAGTACGACTTATAATTTAATAACATTAAAACACAGAAACTATTTATTCTCTGTCATTTCCTGAATTTATAAACAGAGATAGTGGTAGTAATTACCCACGACCAACTGAATATCAAAGAAATTTTTAATTGTTTCAACAGTTTTAGCATTTTTTTATCGTGATAACTCTTTCTGTTTATTATTAGATTTTTGATTTAAATTTTGTTCAAGAACCGTTTACCAGCAAGAACAATTAATAATATAGAAAGTACTACGATCCACGACAGATGAGTATTACGGAAATCTACTTATAAATTCTAATTTAATCCAAAAACAACCAAAGCATTAATCGTATTACGAAAATGAGTACTCTACATATTAGTTGACATAAGCTTTAGTTAGATGTTTTTTTTTTTTTTTAATTGTTGTTTAAGACGTCACATTATGGCCTTGAAATGATGACTATTTTGTTCAAGAACTAGGTCATTGTTCATGAAAAATTGAAAATACTGTAGTGTTGGAGAATGGTTATTTTATAGCTACAGGAAAAACCATCATTGAGATTCAATCTCTAGCAATACAAATCCAGGTCAAACATAATCACAAATAAGGATGATACAAGTTGCATTGTTGCATCATGCAACTGAACTAAATAAGGAATGTTTACAATTTGTCGATTTTTATTGCAAATTCAGGTCAAACATAATTACAGATAAAGATAATGCAACTTAACTAAATTCACATTTCTGCTATCATTTTGGCAATCTAGTAGATTAATACACAGGTAATCTATCTATCATCAAAGCTTGAACCTGCAAAGATCCATTCATTACTTTTACGAATACAAAGGTAGGAATCAAAGAGGCTTTGCACCACCACCATTCTCCTGTGCATTATTGACTGGAGTTGAAGAACCACTCTTTTTGGATCCACTATGACCTGTGATTGTCCTTCCCATGAACTTCCCTGCCTTGCTCAATCCACTACTAAAGGCTCCAAGACCACTGCCAACAAGCCCAGCTCCAGCACCGATGCCACTGCCAACAAGCCCGGCTCCGGCACCAATTCCACTTCCCACAAGGCCGGCACCGGCAACAACGCCAGTACCAACTAGTCCAACACCAGACCCTACCACTGATACTGCTCCATCTAGTGCATCCCTTGTGCTTCCTATGATTCCTGCTTCTTTCAGTCTCTTTCTTTCTTCTAGTATCTTTTTTTCTGCTTCTAGTGCTTCCAGCTGCTCTTCCTTGTTAAACTGATAGTAAAAGACCTGAAATTGCAATCAAATTATGATTTTGAATCAACCAAGAGTGCTACGAGTGACCACCAACTTGGAGGGCTTAAAATTATCCAAGTGATAGTAAGGGCTGAAAATCTGAAATGAAGAGAAAAAATCTTTACATTCACTTAGTTCCCATCTGTAACTAACTATGCATACCATGTCCAACTCCATGATAATGTCAGCAATCACCATCAAGTACAAATAGATACATCATTCAACAAGATCTGACATGATTGATAGATAACTTTATTTCTTAAACATGTGGTCAAGAATTCAATCCTTGATCCATATGTATAGAAAAACATTTGTTGGAAAACATTAGTTTTTTAAGTGGATCTCAGTACTTAGACAAATTAGTCATTAACTTCCGGTTAGGAGATATCCTTGTTCACCAAAAAAAGATCATTGCATATACCTTTACTGTCAAGGTTCCTCGATCCTTCTTATCTTTCACCTTCAGTGTATCAAGTGATGGCAGCAGCCTCAATTCAATCTCCTTTTCAGTTTGTGTTTCTAGATCAATAAGGGGTAACTTTGCTATTCCCAATCGCTTATCTTGCCCAATGTCTTTATCAAAAACCTGTTTGGAAAGTCATGAACATCATTTGTGTTGATTGTCTTAAATCAATCAAGGTATAGAAACAGTGTATGTCAATTTATAGGGCCAAAAAACATCGGAGTTTAAACCAAAATATTAACCGCTATAACTGTGTGTAGAGATAGATGAAACCCTTGGTTGGAACCAGCTTAAATAAAGACATACAACCTCAGGTCAATATTAACAAAAACTATCACAAAAATTTCAAGAACTGACATGGATAAGAAACCAGCCATTTGAGTAGATAATCACGTAGAGATTCCTATAAATACTCCCACTGGGGGCAGATCCAGAAATTGTGACTTGAGGCAAAATATTGTAAAATATAATCAGAATTTTTTTAGGTGTCGCAAAGAAAATCTAGTTTACAAAAAAAGACTTGTGTAGTATCAGAATTCGAAGGTTAAAACTTCAAAACATCTGAGCCGTGACACAAAGGTAATCATACTTGGGAAGAAGTTTGTAATATGCTTCTAAAATCATCTTTCATTAATATCAAAACCACAATCAGGCAATTTACCAGATTTTCGTCTTCATATATATTGAACATATATGAAGAAATCAAAATTTTCAAATTCTTCCACAAGTAATTAGCGTAATTTATGGAGCTGAGTATTAGTAGGGAAAAACCTCGAGAATGAGTGATTGGGTCTCTTTGTCTTCTGCAATCAACTGAAATGTCTCATCCCAAGTAGGATTCAAGTTGTTATCAACAACCTTGGTTTTATACTTAAATAATGGTCGAATATGCACGACTACATAAGGATCTGACTTTCCAATCATTTCCATATTCTTTAAACCAGTCGCTTTCACTACAGTCACTGCAAGTTTTCCCTGAGGTTTAAGCTCCAGTTCACTGCAAGAAAGAGAACATATTTGAGCAGACTAACATTGAAATTGACATTCGAAGCTTGTTTTTCTTTTGTCAAAGGAGGTTAGGAGGGGTGGTGTAATTAAAAGAGGCGAAAATGGAAGTAGCAAAAATGTGAATGTTAAGATGGATGTATGATCAAACAAGAATGGATAGGATACAAAATGATTGTATACAACTATACAAGGAGATGTTGGTGTGACACCTATCGAGGAAAATATGATAGAAAGTTAATGTGGTTTGGACATGTGCAAAGAAAGACACCTATGGAAGAGAGATTATGAAGGACATTGGAGGAAGTTATTAAAAAGGATCTCATGTTAAATAGTATCCTTGGGAATTTGGTTTTTAACTGAACCAAATGGTGTCATGTGATCAATGTAGCCAACTTCACTTGGTGGGATAAGACTGATGTTTTGTGCTTACACTCACTCATTTTATTTTTCTTTGAAAGGATATAGCAACATGCGTAGTAATGTTTCTATTTTCCATATGAAAGAATAAAACCAAAGGCAAAAATGCCATTTGAGTATATGATTCATATTTACCTGATATCAACAGGAATACCACCAAGTGGAACCACAATTCTATGAGGCCATTGGAGCATGTCAGTAACAATTGAGTCCACAGTATCCTATGAAATGGATGGTAAATATTAGTGTTATAAGTGCTACTTAAAAAAAGTACAAGGGAAAAATGCAGTACATTAAACAATAACTCACATCAATCATATCTGAAATTCCTGGAATAGCCGTTAAACTTCCGCCAACAGCTTTCAGAGTATAATCAATTCTGGGCTTTGGCTGATTAAATATTAATGAAAAAGTCAGAAAATACAAAAGTGAAACAAAAATGTTCAGCTGGGATAACGTATTAAACCAGGCTCATAAAGTTTTCAAGAATTAAAGTAGAATATAGATTTAGTTATTAACAACAGTGTCCTCCCATTCACTATCTTCAAGTGTATCGTCCTAATAATGGCCCTAACATTATCACTTGGTGAGTCACTGATCTTGATATTTAAACGCAATTAACATGTGTTTGATATGAAGGGACCTCTTATCAACCTTATTGGCTTTTTGGTTAATCAACTGCCTATATATTCATACAAATTCTTAGAGAAAAAACAGAGAATTAATGCTACACAAACATATCCTGCAGTGACGAAACAAAATGCATATGCAACTCATGTAAATGGTCAATCCAAATGCTTTGAACTATATATTTACATGAGTCAGCAAAAGGGTTTGGACAAAGAAAATTGTAAACGGGAGTTTGAAAAAAACCAAGTTTATCTTTTTTAACAAACTCGGGAGTAGTAAGAAAAAATGGAACAAAAAAACTCATCAAGATAGAGCCACCATATCCTTTCATATGCAATTTCATGCTTTCATAAACAAACTCATTGTATTCTTTATTCTTTGCCCCTCCATCCTCATAGAGTCATAAGATTACCTCAGCTAGCAGAGCTACAACAACAGCAGAAATGCAAGGGATCTCTTCAGCAAGTTGGAATATAACACGGACGATGGTGAAAACCTGAAGATCTTTCAGCTGAAACAAAAGGCAACAAGACTCAAATTTTGACAGATTGCAAAAGGAATGTGATGAAATTTAACAGAAAAATACTCTGCTAAGTCTTACCTGAATAGGGATTGATGCAACAAGTGCAGCTTCAACAGCCAAAATAATACTAGGATCACCACCCCAACGGAAATCAATATCCATTATGATTTGACCTTTGGTAAGGCTCTGAACACGAATACCTGCATGGATGGAGAAATTATGCATATACAAATTCTATACACAAGAAATGGACAAACATTTTGGCGAAGGGAAAGAAACACCAGGGAAAGAAACACCAGGGGAGGTTACCAAATCCTCAATAAAGAAAACAAAAGAAGAAAAGAGTCAAACTGGCTAAAAGATGCATCATAGCTGTCCAATGTCTAGGCAAATCAGTAATTGAAGATCCCTTGAAACAACCATAAGATGCGCGAAAGAGTCACACTTATTTTAAACATGACGCAATCTAAAAGAAATGCTGTCAATATAGATAGACAAAGCAGTAGTAAATTTACTGTGGAAAAGAATGTGCTGAGGAACTACTATTGGTCGATACCTTCAATTTTTGGGGCCACATTTCCAAGTGACAGCTTGCTGAACTTCAATGAAGTAATGCCAGGAGGTCTGTACTCTTCTAGTAGTGGTTCAACAGATTCTCTGATCACCAAAGTTGCTGCCTAAAGGAAAACAAAACCCATCAAGATCAATTCATCTATTTAAGCAAAACAGATCTTTGCCTTTGTAACTACAGAACAAGAGCAATTTTCATTGGTCAGTTCTGATGTCCATACCATACATACTAGCAAATAATATCACTTGAAGCCATAATAAAATATTTGTTCTGCAAATCATTAATGCTTCTTCTTGGGCTACTAGTAATTACGAACTTCAAACACCATGGGGATGTAGCAGACAAATCAAGCACTGTAGGGCTTTTGGCTTTTAGAATATTACTCTTCAAGCCACAAAACATCGTGACATCTAAAGTAAATCATTAAATTCATGAAACTGATAGAATGATATTCTTGACCAATGAAAGATTAATTCAAGGATATTGTTGGAACATGAATATTTTGTATTGCTATTGCCAGAACAAAAGTCATATAAACACATGATAACTAATGCTAGAGGAAAAAAAATCTTTTAAACAACGCATATGGAGTATTAGAAACAATATACTCTAATATACCAGAATCAATAACCAATCTAATTTTGATTACAAATGAAACATAAATTACATTATATAAAATAGCATACGCAACTACAGAAATTTTAGGAACATTTAAGTTCAAATATATAAAACAAAAAATTGTAACTTGTAAGAAATCAATGGATGACAGTGCCCAAACTGTTGTAAATTATACAAATACATAATAAGTGTGCAAGCATACTCACTTCTGCCACAAATGGCCAAAGTTTGGTCAGTTCCTTGTTTAGCCATTTCACCTGTAAAAGCCCATGCAAGGAAGTCATACACACAACACAAACATGACAAAATAATAGGTGCACTGTATAAAATTATTTCAAATCCACCTGCTCATATACAGGAAAAGATATCCACTCAGGCAAATTATCACCACAAATTTTCTTTAAATCATCTCTGTTAAGGGATGCAAGGAGTTTAATGTCAGCTGCCTGCAAAGAAAATAAATATCAAACATTAAGACAAAGAAAAGAAAATGTTAAAACAGGACATTTTTTAAGTAGAAAATATGGTTAGCTTAGAAAACAACTAAAGAAAATAAATAATAATATCCCTGTTAAGTGTTAATGTCATAGACCCCGGTCTTTCTCCAATGAAAGGGTGCAATTAGGCTATATATCATATGGTTGGCTTATGACAACAACAGCAACAACAAAAGCCTTATGCCACTAAGTGAGGTTGGTTGCATGATCACACGGCACTACTCGGCTTAGATAAAGACTAAATCTCATTTGACATTTTACCCAAGCCATACAGGATGTTACTTCCAAGTAAGAGTGTAAATGGGTTAAGTTATCCCTGAACTATTCAGGCTTGACTCATCAATTACTCATTTGTTTAATTAAATAAATAAATCTAAGCTTGAGATTACACTTAATTATTTAAATGAGCCGAAACCAAACTTTAAGAGTTCGACATTAAGGACTTGTATAATATATATATATATATATATATATATATAAACTTTTACAACTATTACACTATTTAATAACTTTTAATTCGATGATGATTTCTCAAAACCCACCTTTAGATCGAAACTTTCTATTACCTTGAACGTGTATGCCAAATTTTGTTAAAATTGAACAATAATAAGAATGTGATCAAACTATTAATATTTTTGTATATTTTCAAAATTTCAATATATATGAATGAAGTATATTTCCATCGGTGGATTTTGATAAAAACATCATTCAATTGAAAGTTACTGAATGGTATAATGGTTTTAAAAGTTACATTGGTGTAATTTGATCACACACACACAAACATCATTCAATTGAAAGTTATTGAATGGTATAATGGTTGTAAAAGTTACATTGGTGTAATTTGATCACACACACATTCATTATTGTTTTTATAGACTTAATTCTAGTGATCCCATGTCACATCTTGTATTAAGTTTGATGTTTTTGATAAATTCAATTTTGTCTTCCCAAAATAAAAAACATTGTTGCCCCTTAAAATAAATAGACGTTAAATTAATTTTAAAGTTTCTTTTTGTAATAGCAATAAGTAATGATTTTTTATTTACTAAATTATGAAAAGCCTAAAAGTTTTGAATTCCATATATCACATGTTGATCACATTTTTATATTACTAGGTAATTATCTAGTATTTCAATAATTATTAAATGCTACATTGATAAAGTTAAAAAAAAATTATTTAAGAAAATTTTCATAATAGCAAAAATAATTAAGTTACAAATGAGCTAAATAAGCCAAATTCAGGATTTTAGTTGAACTTAATGATAACTTTAAAAGTTGTTTCACTGTTTCTTATACAAATATTTGAAAATAGGGAACAAAGGTGCAGTTTTTTTTTGTAATTATTTGTGAATACAAAAATTGAAAGAAGAAAGTTTTCTCAAATCAAACAGGCTAAATTTTCGACTCTCCTTTCTCTTTGTTTCTCATTCCTACGTACAGTTCAAAACTTTGGGTTCTGTTTGGACCAAATTAAGATCGTCTACAGTTGTGAATAGAATTGCATCGATTTGGTCTTTTGGTTTAATTTAATAATATTTAAAGATATTTTTTTAGTCCTATAATTTCACATTTTCACTTACTTTACCTTATAATCTCTATAGTTTAAAATAAATATTTTTAGTCTTTATATTTTTTTTTTTTCAATCTTTTGTAGTTCCTATAATTTAAGATAGATTTTTTTAGTCTCTATACTTGTAAATTTTTAATCCTTTTAGTCCTTCATTAATTTTTTTTGTAATATTATCTCTTTAGTATTAAAAAAAAATAACAATAAAAATTAAAAAGATTAGAAATCTGTAAGTATAAGGACTAAAAAGATCTATATAAAACTACATGAACTAAAAAGATTGAAAAAAAATAAATATAGAGACTAAAAAGATCTATTTTAAATTATAAGGATTAAGATAAAATAAATGAAACTATAAGAACTAAAACAATATTTTAATCTTTATTAATTGATAAAATTATCTTTTGAATTTGAGTTTAATAAGTTCTAAGGGTGAGATTCAGAACTGCACATCCTGCTGTTCATTTTGAAATTGATAAATTTATCTTTTGAAATTTAGTTTAATATTTAAGGGCTTGGTTGAAAATTTAAATATACACATTCTACAAATCTATTCATTCCATTCCCTCATTAACTTTTTAAGAGTTTAATTTTCATGCATTTTTTATATTATCAACCAATCAGAAATTATCATAGATATGACTTTTAGTAGTTATTTTAATTTCCTTTTTAATAATTACAATAATAACAACAAGATTCAATTTTAAAATTCTGCACATACTAATTCAACTCTCACTACCAGACGACAATAGTGGTTCAGATAATTTTAAAAGTTAATAACTTTCCATACATGTCAATTTGTTATTAGATGGCCGAGTAAAAGACTTTTATACTATTCGTGCATTCTAATTAATTTCTTTTATAAATAAACAAAAAATGGAACATTATTTACGCTCCATCTCATCTCTTCTCTTCCCACTATTTCATTCCATTGACTCACAAACATGTTAACATATTGAAAACCCGTACCCCTACTATATTTATTTTCCACATTTATCATGAAACCTCATTGTAATTTTTAAGTAATCAAAAGTTATAGAAATTTATTTCACCCCAAAAATCAGAGCAATCACATTGTTGAGGCCAAATTGAAATTAATTTTGCCAAGTACAAGTTGAAAATACTTTCTGATCGAAGCCAATGTGAGATCGAGTTAAGATTATTTTTGCTAAATTTGAATCGAAAATACTCGAGTCAAAGACGAATTGAGATAACTCTAGTCTCTAATTGAGGTTGAGCTGAAAATATTTATGAAGACAGATGAGATTACTTCAAAGCTCTAGTGAGCTATGTGGGTTGGGGGCATTTTAGGTACCCTCTCTACCCAAGTGCTAGGATACTTATTTATTGGTATCAAAATCTAGTTTTTCTTTTTTTCTTTTCTATTTTTTTTCTTCAGAAAAGGACTACCTATGAGAGGAGCTAACTAAAAAGCATGGATCGAACCATGATTGATGATTTTGTTCAAGAGCATGTCATGAATAAAAAATAATTAACTACCACATGCATAATGTATGTAATACTCCCTTCAAACTCAATTATAAGCAAAAATAATTATTTTATAAGTTAATTAAGAAAGTTAGTTAATATCATTTAATTTTGTTAATCTCAATTAAAAATATTTTTTTCCTATACTATCCTTCATTAGAACTTGATATTAAGAATAAAAAATATTTAATGACATTCTTCGTCCTTGTACTTACACAAGCTTTCTCTTTCAGTCCCTATTGTTAGATATAGTAGGTTTTAATCCTTACACAAACACATTTTTTCCAAATCAGTTTCTGCTATTAATTTATGTCTAACGTTGTTTATATGTTGTTGATGTGACCATGAAAATGTTGACCCAACTCCATTTAACCATTGTTGGATTGGAAAATGGGTTGGGATGTGGTACTTGTTAGTTAACACAACACTCAAACCTTCAAAAATGATTGTCATTGGTTGAAGACCTAGCATTCCATCCCTCCAACAATGGTAGCACAAACAATGGTTGCAAGGAAATGAATCTTGTGATGAGGAGGAAACCGATATAGGGTCTACAACAAATGACAACATCCCACGTGGAAAAAAAATGATGGATTTTAAGGCCATGAAAACACTACATAAACGATGCTAAACACAAAATAATGACAAAGACTAATTTGAAATTTTTTTTGTTTGTGTAGGGACTAAGACGTACTATTTATTTATATCAATAGGGACTAAGAGGAAAGTTATTCAAATATAGGGAATAAAAAGGTGATTGAACCAATAAAAAATAATAATTGAAAATAAAGTATCAATTAAATAAAAGATATCTCGAAGATGATATCATTAAATAGAGTAAAGTTAGATTTTTTTTTTATGTTTTATATTTGAGTATAGAATGAACCAGTTTGATACAATAGTATAACTATCATATTCTTTTTATAATGAAAATAAATACATAATCACATTCAAAGGTACTCAAAACCCAATACAAAATATGTGAAATAACAAAATATATGTTAACTTAAATACTTGGATATATTAACTAAGCATAAGTCTAAAAAATATTGCTAAATGAGTCACGCAGGATAAATATTTGAAAATGTTTTTTAAGATCTGTTGGAATCGAAATCAATATAAGGGATTTACGACACTCACATAACCTAGACCCCTTGTAAATACTTGGATACGTTAACTTAACATAAATGTATGATTAATTGCTAAACGAAACCCCTTGTTTTATGTGTTCAAAAACTAGTTTTTCTACTAGTAAATATCGGGGAGGAGATCTTGCAATGGATTTATACAATGTCAATCATGTTATAAAAGGCATTAAATTATTTTAATATCTTATTATTCATGGCCAAGCCCGAGTATGTGCAGGATTTTGAGTGGGACCCTACCACTAATATATGAAAGAAACTTAATAACAAAAAGGGAAAAATGAAAAAAAAAAATAATGGGAATCCTACCAATATTTTAAAAAGTGGCAGAATAAAGAAAACTCACGGGACCAAGTAAAGGCAACAAGAAATGGGGAAGGCACAAGGGCACAACACAAAGTAGGCAATGAACGAATGCAAAACTGCCAAAGCCTTTCTTTTCTTTCTAATGGAATGTGAGTGAGAAACTACAAATGAGAGGAAAGTTAAAAAAAAAAAAAGAGTTTTAAGCTTTTAACTTTCAAACAATAAAAGAATAATATAATATTAATGAGGAGTGAGAAGAGGTAGGCCAACAAGATAGTTTTCTTTGTAGAGAGTCTGATTGAATACAAGTTAGAAATATTTATGAGAGTTTCTCTGTTGAGAAATATTTTTTATTTTCAATAGGAAAAACTTTCAAACACACTTTTAAATTTATATCTAAACAGACTTGGGATAAACTTTTTTCCATAGAAAAAATAAGAAAAGAATAAATAATTTAAAAAAAAAATTAAAATTAACTTATGCATAAACTAACTTCTCAAAAACTCTTCATTAGCTTCTCCAAAATATGTTTTTTAGCATATGTATAAGCTAAGTTTAATTTATAAAAAAAAAATATTTCATTTTTTCTTCTCCTAAAGGTGTTTATAAAGAAATTTATCTAACAAATTTATAGTGCTACAAAAGTTTAGAAAATCATGGGGTGGTCATGTCCCCAATGGGCTACCTCGTTGCCTCTGCAACCGGCAAAAAGGCCGAGTGAAGCATCATAGACTGTCAGTTTTTGAGATGTTGGGTCTTGGGGTCAAGGGTGGGATGTTTGAAGAATTACTTAAGTGGCTGGCTTGGTTCTCCCCCTAAGCAACTAGCTTTTAAGAGAGGGTCTCCCGAGTGCTATCAGAAAGCACAGAATTATACAAATAGGGAGATAGAAATACTGCATACAACATATGTGAAAATTCAACAATGCACCAAAGCTGCCATTCATGTATGTCATCACAACCAACCATGAGGAACACCAAATAGAGGCCACAGACATAATCCTACCCCATAACAAGTTCAAGGGCAAAGAAACACCCCTAGTGCATGTTTGATTTCCAGTTTAAAAACTCCAAAACCACGTTGAATGGAAAAGACAATTTTTTACTTTTTAGTTTGGTGCATCGGAATTTGTGAATTTTCATTTGCATTGATGTAAAGGGGTTCCAAACACACCCTTAAAGGGTAAGCATTATTGTTTTTTTAGCAAAAATGCACCAAAAATGTATGTATATTGCATAGACAGAAAACTGCTGCAAAATCTTAGCTTCTTTAATTTTTGTCATAAACTTTATTCAGAACCACCATAATGTGCTCCAAAGTTGTAGGACACACTCACTGACTCACATAATACTTATCAAGAACTCCATAGAGAATGTTTCAAAGGAAAGTGGCTAATTTACAATACATCAAAAGATGGTTACTATTTCTAAATTGGTTCTGCACCTAACACAAATATCAGAAGAAAGGGTCACATACTCACATGAGACCCCTGAATATGGAACAAGTCACTAGTAATAATCTTGTTAAGTACCATTATCCAGCAAAAGACCTAACCTTTTAAGGGAGAATGGACTTCAAAGTTGGAAACTTTGATTACTAGGAAAAGAATTTAGAAACTGAAAATACGATTTAGAAGAAAACTTGCCAGAACAATCCAAAGTACAAACTGTCTTATCTTATGAATAAGCAGAAAATAGATTTGACTTGAGCAGGAATAAGAGACTGTACTTTTCAGTCAGTCCAACATCATCTTGACTTGTTCACTTCTCAAGTCATATTATGATAAAGCAAATCAGAGAACAGAAAAATGTGAGTTTGTGCAATGTGGAGGGTAATAATTATGAGGTGCATCGCAGTTTGAACATACAAGTAAATTTCATACGACAAAATAATGCTTACGCACAACTGCACTTCATACAGGAGGCAGAAAAAAATAGAATTCATGAAGTTTAAAGATCTACAAAGCTCATTAGTTTGATTTAACGTTGTAATCCAGGTTAACTGTAACACTTTCGATATAAAGGGCAGTTGCATATCTTAATCATAACTCATAAAGCATATTATAGTTTAAAATTAAATTAGGCTCTAATAGTTATAAACCGAAATAGTGCTACAAAATCTCCGGTTCTCCACATCAGTTGAGGAAGGTAATGGAGAATTGTATTCACATCCCAACTAAAAATCAAAGCCATAGGTATTGCTTAGTGCTTACGAGATTCTGCTTCTACTTTTTAGTTTTTACTGAGAGAAAGAAATTCTGAAAATTGCATCTAATTAAGGTTCTTTGTCCAAACCAATTGCTTAACAAAAGCACATTATGTGCTACTCTCCCACCAGGTTCTTTTCAGATATGTTGTTTCATTCTACTAGTATAATTTTTGGGGACAAATAGTATTCGTTATTCAAATTCAGTATTGTTTCCCTATGCGATGCATTCTCACATTGATTACTTACAAGTTACAACCCTCCCATATGATAAGCTTTATGAAAATCCACCAGTGGATTATTGACACTCCCATGAACCCAATAATCACCCAAATTTTCCGTTTCAAAATTGAAAAAAGCCACCCGTTAATCACTTCTCTATTCATCAACATTTTTCCCTACATTGCCTAGTACAATGAACTCCACATCATCTCTCAAACATTAATCAACAAAACCAAAGCATGAGTGAACTGAAACAAAAGCCATCATTACACATACCTTTGAAATTCGCTTGGCACTTCGGTACCTCATCATGCGCGCCCATCCAGCCATCAATGCGATGCCAAATAACACGCCCATAAAAATCCCAGAAATCAAACCCATTTTCCCAGATTCCAAACACCACCTTTCCCTTCTTACAAAAAAACACAAACCAGAAACACCCACATGAGAAAAGGGCACAAATTCAAGCCTAAGAATCACAAAACAAAATCCAAGTCAACCAAAAACGAAACTTTGAGTGAAAATTGAGAAGAGCATCTCAAAGGGTCTTACTTTAGAGGATGAACGCCAATTGGAATGAGATTCTGCAGAGAGACCAAAAAGAAAACCCAAAGTGTTGATTTTTATTTTTTTGGTTGGTTAATGCTTGGATGTGTGGGACTCCTTCTTCCACTGTTTTGTTTGAGTTTTCAAAACTGTGAATAATGGAAACTTTCTCGTTTCTAACGTCACTTTCAGAGTTGTGGGTTCATCTTCTATCCCTCCCTCCACGAGATTGAAAACAAAACATTTTTTTTTTACAGAAAACAAAGCATTTAAGCTTTATAGGGTCTCCACATCTTCAACATTGCTTGCATTTATGCATTTACAGTTTCCTTTTCTTCTGTAATTTGTTTAGAGTTTATTTTTTTATGTAACGTTTTGTATATTAAAAAAAAACTATATTATCGATGAATGATAAATTATGGTTTGTATAATTTTAAAATAATAATCGTTAATATTAATAAATTTATTATATTTAATAAGTTATAATTAAATAATGGAATCGTACTTCTTAATTCTATTCTTATCTATATTAAATTAATATTTAGTCAATAGAAGTTCCACAAGTGTAGATTAGTAAAATTTAAATCTTAAAAAATATTCGTATAAAATTATTAAAAAGAAATAATTTTAAAAAAATAAACTATTTTCAGTTTTATGTATTTTTCTAAATTATTTATTTAAAAATAAATAGTATTTTGTTTATGTAAAAAATCGTTCTTATTTATTTCTTAAAAAATTGTTTTTAAAATTATTATTTTTAATTATTTTAAATTTAAAAAACTAACTCATAATTTTAAATATATTTATTATAGAAATTAATAAATCTACATATGATAATTTATAATCATATAACCATATAAAATTCTTTTTTTTAGAAGAACCATATAAAATTCTTATTCATTATAAAATATAAAACACATATATTATTAATTTTTTCATATTTTTCTGTAGGTTTCATACTGAGAATTACACATATTGGGGGTTGAATCTTGACCGTTTGGACCGTTTGGTTTTGGAAATATGAGTGAAAAATGAAAGTTGTTAGTTCCAGTGCTTTTGACGACACTTGGAATTTGTCTCTATCCACCACCCTAACCTAATTTTTGGGGCAAATCATGTGTTGCCTTCACTTTTCAGACCAAGTGAGAAGGGATTGGAGGCAATTAAATGTGCATGTGGAATGAGTAATGTTATTTCATTTATCACTTTCACAACATTTTTTACATATTTATTTTTCTTCTGATTTTAATTATATTATTCATTTCATCACGCTCTTTTTCTCCTTTTCTTATCTCTTTTTCATATTGTAAAACCAATAAAAATAAATTAGAATAGGATTATTCTTGTGGAATATAATTTGTAAATCATAAATTGAATAAATAAATTAACTTCAAATTGTGATCTAAATTTCGATAAGCATATAGATAAGTTTAATAGAATCATTTTTCTGTGTAGTCACGTGATGTTCATAACTTTAAAAATGTATTAAACTAATTTCAAAATTTTGACCTTTTTCAAAAGAAATGTATCCCACTATTATACTTGGTTTAAACATGTTTCTTTTTTAAAAAAAATTAAAAGGTACTTTTTCACAAAGGAACAAACAAGGTAGCCTTTATAAATATACTTAAACACATAATTTCTAAATGAAATACAATTTTCAAATCTTACTTATCTCTTTCTTCTTCTTCTTCTTCTATAACAAGGCTATTTGCTTTTAATCCATCTTTGGCTAAGATAAGCTTACTATCATGTGTCATGCCCCAGTTGCTTCACGGTTAAGGTGGGATATTTTTTTCTTTGGAAAATGACTTTGCATGTGTAAGTAATTAATGCATTGTGGTCTTTTCTTAATGCAAAGTTTATAAATAAAGCTTAGTTTTTCTCTGTCTTATTTATTTATTCAGGGGGGTTGAAAAATGATATTGGTATTTGTTAGGTTGGGATGAGTTGACAAAAATATCCAGCTGAGTGTTAGCTGGATGATGGATGGAAGCACAATTAGAATATCATATTCCTTAACAACAATTTTGGGTCCTACTTAGCAGATTGTGTACTTAGAGGAGGGAGGCATGGTGCCTATATTTTAGGTAATTGAATTATTGTAGTTTGAAAAACGAAATCTATGACCTCCAATTTCAACAAGTTTCTATTACTTATTTATTTATTATTAATTTTATAATTGTTTTTTATGATTTAGATCGTTAACAGCATTTAAAAAACAGTTGACAGTTTGAATTTGTATGTTGTTTAGTATGAGTAGGCATGATAATGGGCTGGGGTGGGTAAGTTTTAGGTTTTCTGTTCTGTCCTCGCAGATTTATACCGTCGCTTGTCTTTGATACTCGCTGAGATAAAATTTAGGTATCCATTTCTATTTTTGGTGGGCTTTGAGTTTCCCCGCCCCGCCCTTACTTCTAAGTTTTTTTTCTTCTTTTTTTTAATAAAATAAATATAAACAATTTTTTTTAAAAAAAGTAAAATAATATAAATTTTTACATATAAATATTTCTAATTTTTGTTTATATATATATATATATATAAATAATTTTTTAATTATATTATTAAGTGGGGCAGAGGCGTGACATATATTAACATTCCTGTTCCTACCCCCGATTTTATCTATCGGGAAAACCCGAACCCAAACTCGATAAACACGGATTTTTCTCGTCCAAATCGGGACGAGTTCAGGAGGGTACCCATGGGGGCTGGTTAAATTGTCATGCCTATGTATGAGTATGAGTTATATTTAGTTTCAAATAACAGCATATTTGTGATGGTGATGGAGTTATTTGTTTAAAAGTCATTTAAATTAAATAAAATAATTAAGTGTAGTTATATTTGATTTTATTTAAATGGGGTAATTCATTTTTGTAAAAATTTTAAATGTCCCGAGATGAAATATTTTATTTAGATGAAAAATTTACAAAGAATCTAAAATTCAATCAAATGTGAAATTCTTTAAAATAGTACAATTTTAAATTCTATCAAAAAGTAAAAATTTGAATATTTTTATATTTTCTCTTTCTTATTTACACTATATATCTTTTATCTCTCCTATCTCAAAAATATTTTTAAAATTATTAAATTTATCTTAAAATTTCAATATATATATATATATATATATATATATATTTAAAATCAATTTTACCTATGGTGAAAATCAAATTTTCATATCTAAACTAAGAATTTAAATTTTAAAAAATTGAATTAACTTATTCAACATATTTAAAAAAATGATGAAATTAAAATTAAAGTAATTCAAATTCCTTAAAATTTTAAAATTTTTCATTCAAACACACCATAAATATATTGTAAAATTTGAATCAAACCAAACTAATATTTTACAGTTTAATTTAGTTTGATTTTTACGGTTTTAAAAATATATTATTTAAAAAATAACTAAAATATGTAATATTATGTTATTTATTTAAGACTCATGCATAAAAATGAAATTAAAAGTATACAAATCCTGAAAAATAAATACTAAAATTTTCAACCACTCAATATATTTAGTAACAATTCTTATCTTATTATTTTAGTAAAAAAAATAATACAATTTTATTATTGTACTAAATATTTTTTTTTTCATATATATAACTTGTCACTTATTAAAATCAAATTATTTTTGAACATTTTATAAATGATTTATAATTTTTTATTCTAAAATAAATTTAGTATCTTACCGTTTTATAAAATACAACTTAAATCAAATATAGTATAACAATGTGCATTTGAAAGAAGAAGAAAAAAAAAAGTCTTTTAGTAGACTTTAGTTTAACTTACAATTTTATAAAACAATTCATATTTTATGTCAATCTTGTATATTTATATATAAGTGTTAGTCAGTTCAATTTAAATAGGTTTCACATTTTCAAACCGCAAATTGAAATGAACTGCACGATTTAGAAAAATTAAAAATTAAACTAAACGGCTAATTAGTGATTTTTCATCAACTTTCAATTTTTTAGATGAGTATGCAATTTTTTTATTTGGATGAGTTTGATTTTAAATGTTCCTAATTTTAAATATTCATAAACATAAGGCAAAAGTAATTGAGAACATTTTGATGGTGTTTTGGATCGATTAAATGCGCTAAATGATCTGTGTGTAATGGATTGATATGAATTCCATTTTGTATGAAAAACTTAACAGAACTTAATACTTTAATAGTAAGTTTATGAAAGCCTCAAATGTTTGAAATTAGCTAGTTGAGCGTAGGCATGGCAAGGGCGGGGCGGGTTTTACGTTCCCCGCCCCCGTCCCTGCAAATTTAAATCACCCCGCCCCCGCCCCCGATACCTGTCCGGGATAAAATCTAGGTCCTATCTCCATCCCTGGCGGGGTTCGGGTTTTCCCGCCCCGCCCCCGCTCCCGCTTTTTTTTTTTTTCTTTTTTTTTTTCTTTTAAATAAATATGAACAATTTAAAAAAAATAAAAGAAAAATAAAATAATATAAATTTTTACATATAAATATTTATAATTTTGGTTTATATATATAAAAATAATTTTTTAATTATATTATTAAGCGGGGCGGGGACGGGGGCGGGTATGGGGACAGGGGCGGGGTGGGTATTAACATCCCTGCCCCCGCCCCGCCCTCGATTTTATCAATCGGGAAAAACCCGAACCCGATAAATACAGATTTTCCCCATCCAAATCAGGGCGGGTACCCACGGGGCAGGTTAGATTGCCATTAGTTGAGCGTATGTTATACATGAACATGACTGGTGTTTGTTTCTATGGCACTAAATTAGTCAAAACTCTTTTTAAAGGCAAAAATCACCAAGAGCACTCCAACAAAAATGATCCAAAATTGTCTAATGTGGGAACACTTTTATAATTTCCGGATGAAAGTTATGATCCTTCATTTATGCACAAATAGGTGAAAATTAATCCATCATAAATGTAATTAATATAAAATGTTCATTATTTAAAGTTTGTTTGAGTAATTTTTTTTAATAAGTATTTATAGGAACAAATACAAAAAAAAAATGAAATAAACTTCTAAAGTTAAAATTAATTTATAGATCGAGATTTTTTTTCATATAGGGTATGCTTAATTTTTTAATAAAATAAACAATTTTCGTCCTTTTAATATCTTTGTTTAAACTACTTGTTTTAAAATAATTAAGAAACAATTCTTATATTTTTTTTTAAATAAATTGAGTTAACACAAATAACGAGGCACTACTATCAGCCATGAATACTCCAGGGACGAACAAAAAAAAAATAACGAGGGACTTACATCACTTAATTGAGTAACTGAGGATCAGATTATGACTCTTATAAATACAACAAAAAAAAACTTAAGAAAAGATATCCACTTATTTAGTATC